GCATCAACAACTGGATGCAGGCAGCAACTTCTAAGCTGTCTGTACTATCCAGTTTAGTGGCAGCCCAGTCAGTTCCCGCACAGCCCCAGGTGCCAGCTTCAGTGGAGGAGTCCCTCAAGGAGCTTCTGGACAACCAGAAGAAACTCCTGGACAACCAAAAGCTTATCATGGATGCTCTTGTAGTTCAAGGAAATTCAATTAAGGAGTTGAGCAAGCAGACAAAGAAGCTGAAAAAGACTCGGGCCTCAAAGGAGTCGGTGAAGCTGTTGAGAGGTGAGGTGGAGAAGCTGAAGTCTGCTGGCGACTTACCATTGGAGCTTTTATTGGAGGATCCAGTGCTAGCAGCTCAGGCAGAGCAGGTTTAGGAGCAGGAGACTGAGGGTGAGCCTCGGAGGAGGAGAGTGATGCCCCAAGTTGATGATGTAGATTCAGCTGGAGGACCCTGAGGGAGGTGCCTCAGGCCAGCCACAGGACCCCGTGCCAGGTGATCCAGGCACCCAGCCACAGGACCCCGTGCCAGGTGATCCAGGCACACAACCATAGGACCCCATGCAGACAGAGGACCAATAGGGAGTTTTCTTTACTCTTTAACCCCTTTTTGATCTTATTTTTGGTTATTTAGCATTGAGGACAATGCTAGTTTTCATTTGAGGGAGTGGTCCTATTTGATGATTTGATAGTTGGGTTGTAATGATGATACTATTTTTCTTTATGCTTATTTTGCACTTTTGGTATGTATATAACTTTACCATTTATTTTCTTTACTTTTCGTTATTTTTCAATTTCGGTATATTTATAAAGTTACTTTTCCATGTATATATTCATTCCCTCTTATGTATATTCGTCTAAATCCCCTATTGTACATATTTAGTTTACTTTCCGCATTTTACTTCATAACTTCTTTTGCAACTTTCCTTAATAGAGTAGCTTCTTATTTCATTTAGTAGCTTCTTTTTCGGTTTGTAGCTTCTTATTTTGCAAGTTTTTGTGATCAATAAGCCTTTGATTTTCTTAATGCCACGGTTCTTTCCAAAGGTGGAGTTTGTGTGAACCGGGTGGCTCTTCCCGATGATGGATGGCATGACAACCTTCTTAAGGGTTTGAGTCTGTTTTCTTTTCGTTTGTGAGTAGATAGTAGCTAGTGAGAAATGGTGCCTCAGGCAAAGCTTCACTTGGGCCTAACACATTTACCTTTGACCTTATGGTTAAAAACAAATTGGTGTGTATAGGATGGTGATAGTTGTGACCTTGAGACTCTTGTGTTGACTAAACAATCATTGAGTGGTTTCTCGGAACCATTTGTGTTGCTCAAATCTTAGCTAAGGTTGTTGTGGGCTCCCAACTCTGTCTCTTTAGCAATCCTATAGCTTGGTGGTGAGGTATTGATTTGCAAGTCCAAGTCACATGCCAATAAGTCTAGAACTTGCCCTGAATGTTTGTCTAGGCGAAATCCTAAGTGAAGCTCGGCTTGAGAAGTGATTATAGGCTCTCCTTGATCCCAATTGAGACTTGAAAACATCCATAGCTCACCAATGATGATATCCCTAGTCAACCCGGTTGAGCCACAACCCTTATTCTTTCAATAACCATGATACAAGCCTTTATCCGTTCTAAAATGATCCTCTCTTGGCACCCGATCTTTCCTTAGCACAAGGCAAAAGCATAAGTTTGGGGGGATAGACGAGGAATGCAAAAGTGATAAAAGGTACAAAAAGGAAGAAAAGGGAAGAAAAAAAAGAAAGAAAAAGCCAAAAAGTCAAAAAGAAAGCGAACCATGTAGAAGAAATGAAGGAATTCAATAAAAGCAAAAATGAAAGGCTTGGAAAGACTAGAAAGGAGAAAAAGGATTGACATGAACAAGAAAGAGTGACAGTGTCTCTCTCTAGCCCCTAAGGAAGAAGTAAATGACTCAAAGAGTCAAGAAAATGTGAGCCAAAATGAAGCAAATGAAGTGCTTAAGGAAAGATGAAACCTTTATAGACCAATATATCCTACCGTGAACCAAAAGCCTTCATTACACTCCCGCAAAAGCCCTATATGATCTTGAGTTGAGTGAACTTACATTAGTGGTGACTCACATAAGTGGCAAGCTTATGGTACTTAGAGCCGGACTTGTGACCTTCCTTTGAGAGAGATGAGTGTATTTTCCACAATCCTCGTTCTGAGTGCTATAATCTAAAAGTGAGGTTTGCTTATGGAGAGTTGAGGGGTATGAGTTTGGGTTCCACAACGACCAATGTGATAGAAAGAGTTTTTTTTGATGAGTTGGGTCAACTCTTGATGCTTTTGTGTCGCACTAAAGCCATGGTGCTAAAAAGGTTGTGTATTGTTAATGATGCATTTTAGTTGAGAGTAATTGTTACTTGTTAGTCCCAGTTGATGCTAGATGAGGTTACTTTAGGGCAGCTGAAATTTTCCTTTCTTTTATCTTGAGGAGGTGGGAATTACTTTTGTTTGCTTGAGGACAAGCAAAAGCTTAAGTTTGGGGGAGTTGATAACTAGGGATTCTAGGCTATTTTATGCTCCATTTTGCTTAGGTTTTGGATTAAAAGTGTGTACAAGTATTCCCGAAAGCTAATTTATTGTGCTTGTTTGCAGCGTTTGGTTAAAACGAGACAAAGAAAGTCAAAACCAGCTCATAAAGGAGTAAAACCTGCACAAGTTCAAAGCTGAGTCGAAAGGGCGCTAACAGAGAAGAAACAGACGCGGACGCGGAGGGTCCACCGCGGAGGCGGTCTTGATTACGCTCTCAACGGTGGCAAGGTTCAGAGAGTACATTTTGGGCTTGCAAGTTACCGCTACCCGCGGTGAAATTGCGTGGCAGCGGTGTCTCTGTCGCGGCCGCGGTCAAGTTATCGCCCTCAGCGGAAGTGAGAATCAAAGAGCTCAGTCTGGAGCTCAAATTGAAGACCGCGGTCGGCGCTCATATTTCGCGGCCGCGGTTGGAGGAGCGCTAAGGAGGTAGTTTTTCCGCTCCCAGCGGACTCAAGTTCAGAACCAGCTAAAAAGAGAAGAATCGCGGTCCGCGCTTGCTTTTGCGCGGCCGCGGTAGTCCAAGCACTGAGGCGGTCCATTTTCCGCTGCGCGGAACCCTCGTAGGGGCAATTTTCGTCCAGAAAATTTAGCTGTGTATAAATAGTTCTTTTTCAGATTTTTTGGTCATCTGTTATGAGAGGAACACGTGAACAACAACTTTTTGTTATTTTGAGTAATTTTAGAGCTTGGTTAACCATTAATCTTAGATTCTTCTCTTGTAATTACTTTTTATGGGTTATATTTCATCTAAATCTTTGATTTCTTCTTTAATCATGAGTAGCTAAACCCATTAGCTAGGGTTGTGGCTCAACCCTAGTATGAATATTTAATGGGTCTTCAATTTTAAGGCTTAAATATTTATGGGTGAAGGATATTTGGCTTGTTTTATGTTTCAAATGTTAAATTGGTGGTTGCAAACACTGATTTGTGCCTTTTTGACTTAGGCTCTTCTTGAGAAAGAGAGACTAAGTCTAGGAAATTCAGGCCAACGAGGACTTGGGGTGCATTCAAGAGATTGATAGCCCCAATCAAAGGGTTAAACCTAGAGATAGTAATACCCGACTTGAGCCAAATTTGCTTGCATTGTTTGAACACCCAATTGGGCTTGAGAAAGCCAATTAGGGCAAAGTCACTCAAACTACCGAGAGGTATAGAGTGAGTAGTTACGTGCGACGGCTATATCATGATTCCAAATATAACAAATTTGCCCTAAGTTTTAGACCCCGTTAGATACTCACCTAGGAGTAAGTCACTTCCCTAGTGCCTTTCTACCAATTAAGAAAACCCTTACAAAAATATCATACTTAGCTTATTGTCCTACTTCATTAGTGTTAAAGTAGAATAGTAAACAAATAAAGAATGATTGGAAGTGCAATCAAGAACATCGCACATTGCTAGATTAGATAGGAACCCAATTCCAAACATATCTTAGCTCTCTGTGGAAATCGATCCCAACCCCTCGGGTAAAAGCTACATCGACCACTCTTGCCATTCTATAATGGTATAGGGTTGGAGCCGATCAGTCACGGGCGAGCAGTGAAATCAATTGATGATGCTTGTGTTTAGGTAGACTGCCTACATCACACCCACTTGTGATGCGGCCCTTCCGGACCCTGTGTAAAATGCAAGATGCTTTGTGTACTGGGTTGTCCTTTTTATGCTCTTGCATAAAAAACAACACTCTACCAGAACCAACATTGAGGAGATGCCCGGATGCCCCAGTTAGGAGGTGCGAGAGGTTGCATATAGTGGGTTTAAGGAGGGGTAGAGGAAGACCTAACAAGTATTGGGGAGAGGTGATTAGACATTATATGGCGGTTCTTCAGCTTACTGAGGACATGACCTTGATAGGAGATTGTGACGGTCGAAAATTAGGGTAGAAGGTTAGTACATAGTAAAGCGTAGTCTCCTTACAGACCGGTAGCTTTAGTGTTACTCTAGTTCTGGCATATATTTGGACTCATATTATTACCTGATTATTGTTTGTGTTTCGGTTTGTTAATATCCCGATGCTGCTATGTTTCCTTTCCATAACTTGTCCAATTTTTTATATTGCATTTCTTTACTACTGATATTGTGCTTACTTGAGCCGAATATCTATCGGAAAAGGTCTCTCTACCTATATAAGGTAGGAGTAAGGTTTGCGTACACACCATTCTTCCTAGACCCACTTATGAAAATATACTGTGTATGTTGTTGTAAAAGTGAATGTTCTGGGGAAAATTCAGCAACTTGTTTATACAGTTATATTTCGTCTTTCGCTTCCAGCCGAAAGGTAGGAGAGTTCAAGTCACAGAAAACGTAAGTGAAGGACCATTATTAATCACTTGTGGTTGGTAGTAGGACAAAAAATATAGTCATTAAAAAATTAAAAATATAATCTAGGGACTCCGAGTGTTGCAGTACGGTTTAAAACCATAGATATTAGAATATCACCTCGAATGTGTGTAACTTCACCAACTGTATGTTTTCAAGTACATGATAGTGTGATTGCTATTTGGAAAAGTAAACCAATGTAAAGAACCAAACATCTAGGGGAAAAAGAATTCAAATACATGCTACAGAAGAATACATTATGTGCTGCCCGCTATACCAAAAGAGATGGCAACAGAAGGAAAAGGGCATCACATCATACATATGTGCTGCCCGCTACACATGCTCTTAGTTATTCACATAAAAAGAAATAGATTGGCCTACCAACACTGTGAACTATTTCATTTACAGCATCTTCAAAGACTAATTCACTGGAAGGAGTACATGGTATATCCATGATCTACGTACATTGTATCTACAACAGTTTTCTCTTGGCTGCTCAAACTGAGTATATCTTTCTCACCTTCTTCATAGGCCTGCGACAGATTGGGCAAGTACCAGCAGCTTCTGCTATCCTGTAAATGTCAATTCATGGTGTTACCAGTCATGCATGGATTTTCCATATGTATTGTGCATTTACTTTGCAGTGTAGAACCACCAACGACTAAGTTAGTAGGAATTGTGGAAAATGGCTTGGCAAATACAGTAAACTTAGGTCATCCTCTAAGTCATAGTACAAAGTTATATGTACTTTAACAATTTTCCTGGATCCATTTTAACTATCAGTAGACTAAGACTTCAACTACATGTTTCTGCAATTTAGCTCGAAATAGGTGGGGTATTAAGTTTTTTTAGTAAGTACAGGCAAAATATTAGTAATAGCTAAATCTTAATAACCAACTAGATGGAGTTACTACAGAAATTTGCTGGAATGTGACCAGCTAGAGCTATCTCTTTAGTCTTTTTTAGTTCTTGTTCTTAATCACACCATTAAATCATTGGGATAAGATTCTCTTTCTTTCTTTCTCGGTTAATAAATACCATTGAACAGATTCTTAGAATTTGATGCATACTAAGTAAAGCAGCATGCCATCGCAGATTGAAACCCGAGTGCTTATGTAACCCCTAAAAAGGAAGGCAATATTACCTCGGATTGACGTACTAACTAGCACGGATCTTAATATACTAGAGCATAATGTTTAGCCTGTATTTCAGCGGCAGTATGACATTCTCATTTATAGTACTGGAACTCTACGGTTCTGATGATCAAAAAGACAAATCTTGAAGCAGTTTATATTGTGGGCTTCTTAATATAGCGTAGAAGGATTGATCACAGTTTTGCCCCCTTTCTTTCAAGGCTTGCACGAATGACAGTTCAATAAATGATCTTGAAATTTGTTCGCTGCCTTGGTGAAATTTAGAACAATGAGAGGGGGATGGCAAAACAGAATAGCCAGAAAAAGGGAGGGAGCATAGAAGATGAAATGGAAAAAAGGGAAAGGAGGAAGAGCAAAATCCATAACAGGATCTCTTGGTTATGGGAATGAGACAGGCAGGTGATAGTTTCCTTTGAGGGCGAAGCTGTGACTAATCCTAAGTTACGTCTTAGATATATGCCTATACTACCCCATCCACGTACCTAGAATAGTAACCCCTGAACCACATTTTCTCAATGAACAAGAACAATAATGTTCAACTTTCAATGATGAAGATGAAATGCCAGAAATAAGGGAGGGAGCTAGAAGATGAAATGGAAAAAAGGGAAAGGGGGAAGAGCAACATCCATAACAGGATATCTTGGTTATGGGAATGAGACAGATAGGTGATAGTTTCCTTTGAGGGCGAAGCTTTGACCAGTCCTACATTGGGTCTTAGATATATGCCTATACTACCCCATCCATGTATCTATAATAGTACCCCCGAACCACATTTTCTTAATGATCAAGAACAATAATATTCAACTCTCAATGATTAACTTTTTTTATTAGAGGACGGGTAGCTGTCGTGTCATGGCTTGCTGGTTTCTCTCATATGCATATAACCCATATTCTCTTGCAAGTTCTTAGTCCTTCCTTCTTGAATTTAAACTCAAAAATGAAGCATTTATAGTTTTTAGCGAGAGGAGTGGCATACCTTGTTCCACATTCAAAACAGGACGCATAGTGTCCGCATGGAAGAAAGAAGCAGTCCCTTGGCGCATCAAAACAAATTGCACAAAGACGGCGAATATTGCTGTTGTATTCACCATCTTTTACTTGTTTCCCCTGAGGTGCAGTGAGGTCCAGTCCATCTTCATTATACTCGTCCTCTTGTGAAAGACCATCATAAGAAGAACCCCAGCTTGTGAGATCATCATCTTTGCGTGAAAGAAGAGGGGTCTGCTGAGATTCCATCGGCCCCACTGGATCTCTAGTCCCTTCCTGACGAGTGGATTGCATATTATTCAAGTACCAGAATACCAGCCAAATGAGAAAACTCATACCACCTGCATTTGGAAAGAATGATGAATATGAAAAACGACAGGTTTTTCAATTAGGACATCAGATATTATGTAGAAAAGAGAAATATACCTACTCCAAGAAGATACGTGATCCATCGAGGTCCATAGGAAAGTTTGACACTCCACATACTAGTAGCTGTACCCTACAGGAATTTAAAAAAGCCTAAATTCATTCTCATGAAATCTGTTCGAGTTAAGGCCAAATAACTAAACGTACTCAAATAAGGATCTCTAACAAGATAAACTATAATCCTTATAAGGATGGAGTCATCATGACAAATCATGTGAAATCTTCAAACACAGTAATGCAATAGCTATATTAACTAGTTAAGTGCATCTTTAAAATCTAGTCCAGCCTTCAAACGATTGCTTGTTTGTGATGATGGAAGCAGAAAAGTTACTGCTTGGTCTTAATTCACTCAAGTAGTCTCCATTCAACAACTTATATAATACACAAACAGAATGTTAAGTCCCAAGCTGGTTGATTAATGAGTTGTGGTCTCCTTATATAGACTTGGGCAGTTCTCCCCTCGTGAGCTAGATTTTGGGATTGAGTTAGGCCCAAGGTCCATTTCTTCACATGGTATGAGAGTTAGACCCATCGATCCTGGTTGTTGTATTTCTCAACGTTAGGCCCTTGTTATGTTATCCAAAGTCCAGTTGGGTGTGCAGGGGAGTGTTAAGTTCCACATTGCTTGAGTGAATGGGTTGTGATCTCCTTATATGGACCAGTGCTATCAAAGGCGAAAAGCGCAAAAAAGCTCTAAGGTCCATTGGGGCTTTAAGCGCAAAGCGCAGATAAGCGTGGACTTTAATGAAAAAAGGCACAAAAGGGAGAAAAATGCAAATATGTATGTGTAGTCTAAGACTAATGATTATACATGATTTACAAATATATGGACAAAGAAAGTGAAGAAAAATTACGATAAATTGAAATATCAATTGTTTAGCATCGCCTCTTCAGGATTATGCTCATCGGCAAGGAAAAGTATCCCTTAAAGCCTTGATGACGACACAAAAGCGCCCACTAAGCGAGGCGAAGCGCTCAACATGTTTTGAGCCTCGCTTCAGGGCTTAAGCGTGCCTTTGACAACACCGATATGGACTTGGCAAATCATCCCCTCATGAGCTAGTTTTCGGGGTTGAGTCAGGCCCAAGGTCTATAACTTCACACATAACATACTATTCCGACAAATAAATTGTGAAGAGTTCCACATTGATGCTTTAAGGAATGGGTGGTCTCCTTAATATGGCTTGTGCAATCCTCACCTCTTAACCTAACTTTTGGGATTGAGTTAGACCCAAGGTCCAATTCTCTCTCGTAAATTAACTGAAGTTCTCAAGATTGCGTCCACATGAGGTTTAAAATTCACTGATCAAAGAAAGAACTTTTAATAGGAATAATACAAAGACTGCTAAAAACTGCAAATGTATTGATAGCAAAACTAGCACATTCATATTGGGTATATTCTTTGCTGAGAGAGTTAAACAAGGAGAACTAGAAAAAAACTGGTGACTTACTGGCCTTTGGGGAGGCGAAGTCAAAAGAGCAGCATTTCGACCGGCCAAAAAGAATCTCATACTACACTGTTTTCGTCTAAGGTTGCACTCATAGTAGGCACCAGTTGTATTATAGAGCAAAGCCCTACCTTTAATATCCAAACGAACCTGTTTTGCTCAAAACCAAACATGATAAATAACAAAAAAGAAGTAAGATAACGCAATTCCAGTGCAAAGCAGGAAACTACGAACCCACGCCCAAAGTAATTTGAAAAATCAGGGACATCACAATTTCTTTCTATCAATGTGATTAAATAAGTGTTCATCAGGGGGAAGGAAGTTCTAAACCCATACTTGCCATGAAGATTAATATCATAAGTGACAATTAAGACTTGGTAATAGTACAAAGCATTCAGTTTACTTATTTGACCTGCACAACTCCAGAGTTCAAGTTGCCCACTGCCACATAATAACTAGAGGATTTTCCTATGTCCTGGCTGATTGTGCCATTCCCTGCAGAAATGCAGTTGGTGCGATAAGCTGACTTCTATCTTTTGTGATGTACAGTTCTTACAACACCTTTTATGCAGGGATCATAAATAAATTAGCTAGTTTTCTTTCTTACCATGAATGACATTCCATGATAATGTAGTATTTGGATATGATGGGTCCTCAAGCCACTGCGCTAGCCCTTCGCTTCCTGCAGTTCATCAACTTTTAGAGAAAAATATCTAAGTGTTAGAAAACTGAAATGGAGCTAGCATGTCAGTATTCGACTAGCTATATTCAATAGGAAGATTGATAAGTCAGATAACCACCTTCCAAGGGAGTGAGCTACAAATATGGTTTCCCATTGAAGGGTTGGACCAAAATACACCCCTTTGATGGACTACTTTAAGAGGAAAACAAGGAGATAGATAGTGCCAGGGAACACTTGTTTTTGACCTTTGGTCTGAAAGGTGGGGACTGGGACTCAGGAGAGTCTAGCTTAGACAAAAATTATGGGTCAACTGTACGCTAAATGATACTACAAAGTAAAATATTCTTTGTTTTTCTGGATGAGCATCTAAGAATCAAAGATCACAATGCACTCAAGGATCATAGAAGCAATGCTGCAATAGTGAGGTGGACCGCACTCCTACTATGTTGAGGACTGTGACGAGTCCTCTACACTTGTCACATCCTATGATATATACTGCTAATGAGGTGAAAAGCCCATTGACTTGGATTGATTTGCTAAGTGTTGATGCTGACTTACAGAACATCCTAGTATAGATTCAAATTCACCCTTAAACAATAAATGGGACACTAGGAAACAAAAATTAACGAAGATGAACTTACCTTGAGCAATAATAAGGACTAAAGAATGCGAACTCGAGGAATTGACACTATATGAAATGTTTATTTGAGATCCTTGATTCAAGTAATATATCCATTGCTGTAAAATCAAACACAAGAAAATTCATTTAACCATCCTCAGCTAGGTATCAGAGAGTACAGAGAAATTTAATGTCATGCCTTGTTAGTGTTTGCAGGAAGAGAGGTTTTGTAAGCTTCAGAAAAAATTGTTAAAACATCAAGAGACGGATTTTCATAAAACCCATACACCGTTGGTCTAGTGTTTGCATCATCCATCTCTTCCACCTAGTAGGAAGACACAAATTGTTAAACAACAAACTTAGGAAATAATAAAAATGTAGGCTAAGGATACACATTTACCTTTATATTTTCCACAAATAAGGGATTGGGTTTTATCAGGATTGAGGAATTTGGTCCAAGCTGCAAATTGGATGGTCCATAAACCCCCAGTATCAAAGTCATAGATACTGAACAAAAGAGAAAACATTCATCAAGGCAAGCTCTGAAGTGTCACACGGTGTGTCTAGTGGAAGAAAAAAAAAAACAATAAAATGGAAATGGACAAGCGTATTAATGGGGAAACTCCCTATCAAAGTCATAGATACTGGAGAAAAGAGAAATTATTCCAACAAAGAAAGCTCTGAAGTGTCAAATAGTGTGTTTACTGGGAGGAAAGAAATAAGGGAAAATTGTAAGCAGAAAAAGCGTTGTAGTATAGCGTCCTTCTTACATTGAATTAAAGCTTTTAATAAAAATAATAACAAGAGCATGCTAGGGGACCTATTAGTATAGTTAAGTGATTCACTTGCCAGATATAAGATTGCACAATGTAACAGTAGTTAAAAGAAGTCACATGAAGCCATCAAAATACATGATTTTTTAATCATTTGGAGCAACACACTACCATTACCAGCCAGCCGTTCTTTCCCCCCAATCCATCATCAATGTACCATACTTACCTAATTGCAGTCGACTTCAGATGTCCATGAAATTCACATCCTCTAGCCAATTGTCATGACAATTATAGTTGTCATTTTGAATCCCCGTTCATTTTCATAAATTTGTTTCATCTTAAGGCCCAACATAAGAACTAGATGAGTGTCACATACATGCAAATGATAAGATGGATGTGCAGGCATACAAAATCAGACAAGATAAAAAATGATCTCACCACATCCGGTAGGAGGTGCAAGTTGTATACATAACGAACAAAATGAGAGAATGTCGTTTGAGATGGTTTATCTATGTCCTACTTAAACTTCAAAATGCAAAGGACTATAGGTGTGAAATCATAATAATTAAAGGTTTTAAAAGGGATGAGATAGACCTACAGTCACATGAAAAAAGCTGTCTAAAAAAACCTACAATCTCTCGAAATCCATGCAGACTTAGCCAAAACGGAATGCAATAGAAGCGAAAGATCCATATGGGCGACGCCTGCTAGTTTGAATTAAATCTTAATCATATTGGTATGCTTACATTGGGCCCGATTTTTGCTCGGAACTTTTTTAGTTTGTATAGATATATCAGTAGAAAATGTATATGATTTTTAGTGTTAGAGAGCCCCAAATTATTGAATATAGGAATGAAACAGGTCCAAGTGATGGATGATGAGGAATTCAAATAGCCAACCCGTTTTGGTTGGGATTGAGCTGTCGTACTCATTTTGTTGTAGTGATGGTGGTGGTGGTCTGTCATCTAAGAGAAAAACCATAGGCAGTCAACAAGATCAAAAGGTTTAACACCAACTGATTTTGTCTTCTTTTGGCATCAATTTTACATCACTAACTCAACTCAAGTTACAAGGTCCGACACAGTAGATTACATGATACTAACGAAACATAAATTGGCATCTAAAGGTGCTTATTCTAGGGAAGAAGGAGAAATGTGGAGACTCTTTGCAAAATGTGTACAGGATGTCCATTGTCGAGGAAGTCACAACAAGAAGATTGCAGGGCAGCTGGAAACTGTGAATTTCTATCCTTGATACTGTTTCATTGATGCCTAGGCAGGGGCGGATTTAGGACCCCTTCGTCTAAAATTACACTGTATCTCTATATATTATGTTTTGAATCACCTTGATATAGTCCAAAAATATAGCTTAGTGGTCAAGGGGGTTCAAAACCTATGTAAGGTCATTGGTTCAATCCCCCACTAGCTACAGTCTTTTTTAACTTTTTTCTTTTTTGAACCCCCTTAGCGAAAATACTGCATCCGCCACTGCCTCAAGGCCTCCAGTCCGGCAATTCTTTTTTGAACCACCTCAGCAAAAATCCTGCATCCGCCATTGAGCCTAGAAGAAAGATGTTGTACAGAAGAAGGGTAGTCTAGCAGAGTAGCAGTCATATAGCATTGTGAATGATGTGTCCTTAGCTTGGAGTTTTTAGGGAAGTAAGGAGGAGATAGAAGATAGTCGCTTATCAGTTTTCTAGAGGTGAGGCTGCTGATCATCTCTAGGGCGTAATAAAAAATTTACTGAAAGACTTCAAATTCTTTTTTGTTTGCATTCTTTCCACTTAAACTGAGGATATTCTAGGATTAAAAAAATCTTCAACGGGAAATAAGACACAAACGTACAAGGTAAAAATGAAATTTATTGGGAACATGATACTAGTATTTACTGGGACAGTAAATATTGAAATTTATCCTGTCTCTCTTTTTTTTTTTTCTCGACTAAAGCCATACACTAACTTTGATTTGTTAATAATGTGATCCATGAGATAACTCCTGCGTGCTAGTTGCCTGGACACCACGGTTATTAAAAAATTATATGATCCTAATAGTGCCAATAAATGTAACCATTGCAAAAACTTTGAGAAAAATTACCGAAGAACCAGAAAGTGAGAACAACAACTACGCAGGACCAGGTATCATCTCTCGTCAACGGCACCACGGCTTCCTCATTATCGGCCGCCGGGAAATACGGCGCATTGTGAAAAACACTATTCCTCTCCAGAAACGGCAACGGAGGCCTTCGATCGTCGTCGTCAATCACCGGAACTTCCTCCTCATCTCGCGATGTCGACGCGGACGCATCACCGGAAAATGACGGATTCCGATCTGATTCTTCCATTCTGAAAGGAAAAAAACGTGAAGAACAAGTTTGGGAGAAAATAATAGTAGGAATTTAATTGAGAACTAAATTGAATATTATTACTCTGATGAGAAGAGTTCATGATTGAATTCAGTGGCTTCACCAATCAGTCATATTTTTTAATTTTTTTTTTTTTGGTTGGGGGGGATATACTGAGATTCTGAATGGTAGTTGACAACTGAAAGTTTAGAATATTTAAGTGTAGCAGTTAGGTGATTACAGCCACATGCATTCCGCATTAAGTTTAACTAGTTTTAGTAACTATATCAAATTTTGATTTGGATTATTTGAATTATGTGCAAATAATCTTAAAATTAAACCTTCTATATGAAAATTATAAATAATTATTAGATATTAATTAAGAAGCAGGACATGAAACCATTTCTCAAATCTCATAGTGGATAACTTGTTTTTTTTATACTGTAATAACTCAACCCCTCGATGTTGGCACTTGTATTTTATTTTACGGTCAATATTAAAGAATACTTAACATATAATATTGTGATATGTCTTGTTTGAGCATATTAAATAATATTATTTTGGGAAAATTCTTACTACCACTTTATTTTTCATATCAAATTCAAATAAGTCTTATCCTTCTACATTTTTAGACGTAATTTTTCTCTTTTTTTGTTTTTTTTTTTATAGTTATTGCAATATTTATTACTTAATATTGTTTTTTTTTTGTTAAATTGCAAAATTTTTATTTAACCAAGTGAAATATTTACATCCACCCGCTCATTTGACTCTAGAGTCGGGTCCTACAAAAATAGCCTATTTGTAACACTTAAGTTCCACATCCGGAACTTACTATCTTTGTTAACATGGATACCTATTTATCTTTTCTAAGACTCCTCTCCATTTACAATAGCTCTCACCCCTAATGTGTAAATGTAATACAATTTCTCTAACTATATCCCTGCATTCTCTTCTTGATTGTTGGAATCTTCGCAGGTTTCTCTCCATCCATGTTTGATATATTGCTGCTGCAAATGCATTTCCCAGGATCTTCCATAGCTCATTTCTGCTCCTTGTTCTTTTTGCCATCCATGCAGTTTCCTCTTGCCATCTTCTGCTCCCATATGAATCTTGAATATGAACATTCAAAGAACAAATGTTCATGAGTTTCCTCTGTATCAGTCATACACAACACACAGTCCTTAGGTGCTGTTATTCCCCCATTTGCTTAGCCTATCCACTGTTGCTAATCTCTGATGCAATGCCATCCACAAAAAAAACTGATGTCTAGGCAGTATTCCTTGTGTCAAGAGCAATGTTTTCCAGTTGACCTTAGGATATTGTGGCATAATTGAAGCATACGCTTTGCTGATTATATACTTCCCCTTTGCTGCATATAATCCAGCTCCTTGACTCCATTGGTTAACCATCTCCTTGCTTCGAAGATTTTCCTTATCACCCAGCTAACTTGCTTAGGGGTTTCCATATTTTCCAAATCCTTCTTCTTCATATAGTGATGATGGATCCACAGAACCCATAGCTTGTCCTTCTTTTGTGCAATTGCCCATAGTAGTTTACCTATTGCTGCCTTGTTCCATAGTGAGAAGTTTATGACATTCAATCCTCCTGCTGCTTTTGGTTTACAGACAGTTTCCCATGCTATTGGCGCCTTCTTCCCTTCAGTGCTTCCTTTCCATAGAAAGTTCCTACATATAGCAGTAACCATTTCATGTAACTCTTTTTGGAATCAGAAACACTTGTGCCCAGTAGGTTTGCATTTCAAACAGAACACTTTTGATCAACTGAACCCTTCCTACGTATGATAAAAATCTGGCTGTCCAGCATCTAACTCTTCCTGCTATTTTGTCCACCAGTGGCATGCATTGGTTAATGTTGAGCTTCTTTGAAGATAATGGTACCCCCAAGTATTTGAATGGTATTTCCCCCATGGTCAGCTTCAATTTTTGCAGAATTTCTTCTCTATACTGTGTAGTTATTCCTGCCACATAGAGTGAGCTCTTCTCCATATTTGCTTGTAAACCAGAGACAATCGAGAATTTCTCAAATTGCTTCATCATCAGTTCAATAGATATCTTGTCTGCTCTACAGCACATTAGTAAATCATCAGCAAAATAAATATGAATCACTCTCAGTTTTGCACACTTGGGATAATAGTTGAAATCTGGATTTATATTTAGTTGCTTCAGAGCCCTGTTCAAGTACTCCATCGCCAAAATAAATAGATAAGGTGACATTGGATCACCTTGTCTTAGCCCCTTCTTTGCCTGAAACTTTGGTGTCAAGCCTCAATTGATCAGCAGTGAGTAAGAGACTGTACTTACACATTCCATTATGAGGTTGACCATTTTGTATGGGATGCCCAATTCCAGCATTAGAGTCTTTAAAAAGTTCCAGTCAACAGATCCATATGCTTTCTTTATATCCACTTTTACTATGCATCTTGGAGATACTGTTTTCTGGTTGTATCCTTTAATCAGTTCATGAGCCAGCAGGACATTGTCCAGAATGTTTCTTCCTTCTATGAAAGCTGACTGTGAAGTTCCCACCAAATAATCTACTACCAACTTTAATCTGTTAGTAAGTAGCTTAGCAATGATCTTGTACATGGTTGAACAACATGCAATAGGCCTGAACTCCCTTACAAAATTTGGATTTACCACCTTAGGAATGAGTGTGATAGTAGTGCAATTTATTTCTTTCAGCAGCTTCCTGTATCAAAAAATTCCAGTACTGCCTTTATGACCTCTTCACCAATTACTTGCCAGTTTTCATTAAAGAACTCTGCTGGATGTCCATCTATACCTGGAGCTTTGTCTCTTGGTAATTCTTGCACCACTTTTATAATATCCTCTCTTGTTATAGGCATCATCATTTCTTGTTGTTGTGCTAGTGATAAACATGGCCCATCTCTAGCTATAGTATCATCAATTCCAGTATTTATTGCTACAGCTTCACCTAACAGCTTCTTGAAGAACTATATAAACTCCTGTTGGATCTGCTTTGGATCAGTCACCGTTATATTCTGTTCTGTACAGATAGAACTGACCTTATTCCTTATTAATATTGTTATACTATAATGTGAACATTTATTAGCTTATAAATTAACTTAATGTATTACTTATTACCCTATTAATAATCATCAATAAATGTAAATTTTATTCTTAAAATTTAATGTATTTATACTATCATAACTCTTTCATCATTCAAATCTATCAATAATATTTTTTTACTATTATTTAATAATTTAATTTATATATTTTTTAAATAAATTTACAATATAAGTATCATTGCACTATCTCTATTTTCCTCTTTATACATTCTGTTCCCTACTAAAAAATTTTAATTAGCTTTTACACAAATATTTGACCCAAACTCAAAATAATATCACGTCTTATTTTAAAATATTACTTTGAATTAGTGTAAAACTCAATACATAAGTTCCTTTATAATGTTTCAAACCTATTTGAATTTTCTTATAATTATTTTTGTATTATGTGCAATTAAATTTTCATTCTCTTTTAGTTTCAAGATACAAATTTAGCTTTTAATTTTTATTAATAAAATTACCTACATGAGATATTTATTTAATATGTTTAAATATTTAATTTGGTATCAAATTTTTGTTTTTCTTTATCTAGCAAGACTTCAATTTTGTGGTCATATCCATATTTTAAGTGTTCTTATCATAATTTTAAGAACTTTCTAATCTCAAGTTTAAATAATTTTTTCTTTTTATTTTTAATATAGTTTTTTTCAATTTTAATTATTTTTATTATTTCTGCTATAATGTCATCTAATATGTAATATTATCAAATTTTCATGTAATTTTTTTATTAACTTTACACTTTATTTAATATTTTATCTACTGCTATTTTTTTTAATATAATATAGATAGATATATATTTTTTTATATTAAACTAAATATTTATTTTATTTTTAAAATATTTTTTGAAATTTTTAACTTATTTAAATTTATTAATAATATTTTTGAGTTTGTATACTTGCATTGTTTTATTTTTTAAAGTAATTCTTAGTATAAATATCCACACATGATCTCTAATTTATTTACATAATTTATTATTTAAATTTTTTTTTATCTATAGACTTTAGTTATGTGGCTTTATGTACATGCATACTATTTCTTATTATACTTAAGCAAAATTTTATCATCTCAAATTTAAATAAGTTTTATCCTTTTTCTTTTGTATGATGAAATTTTTGATTTTGTTTTCTCTATTTGTTCCTCCATTTTTCTATTATATTATTCAATATTTAATATTATTATATTGTCATGTGGCTCAATTTCTCATCATATTTCTTTATAAACAAAAACTTATCTCAAATGTTTACAACAATGGTTCCACTATCATTTATTTCTACATAATATTTCTAAAAAGAAAATATATATGAAATGGAAGAAAAGGGATCATGTGGTTAGTAATTCTAAAATAGAAATTCTTATTTTTAGAAAGTTTTGGAATCTATTTACATTGAAAATAGAAGTCAATATTAGTTGATTAATACCTTTAAGTTAAATTTGATCAAATTTGTTTTGCCTTAATTCTTATTAGATTTTTATTATATTATTCAATACTTAATATTATTATATTGTCATGTGGCTCAATTTCTTATCATATTTCTTTATAAACAAAATCTTATCTCAAATGTTTACAACAATGGTTCCACTATCATTTATTTCTACATAATATTTCTAAATATATATATGAAATGGAAGAAAAGAGATCATGTGATTAGTAATTCTAAATAAAAATTCTTATTTTTAGAAAGTTTTGGAACCTATTTACAATGAAAATAGAAGTCACTATTAGTTGATTTATACATTTAAGTTAAATTTGATCAAATTTGTTTTGCCTTAATTCTTATTAGATTTTTTAAATATTTATAAATTTTGTCCGAGTGGATAAGATTTGTTCTTCTTAAGTTAAATTTATTTAATCATATAAGAAATATTTCTTTATGTATAAAATATCCATTTGCCCGATTTGTCAATATTAATATGACTTTATTATTCTTGTTATTAAAATATATTTTACTGATTATTTAATTTTTTTACATTGTATATAATTTGTATATTTTATGTAAGATCTTATTTTGTTGCTTGAATTTTTAAAATTTTTAAAGTCAATAAATCTTTAATATCTTAAGTAAATTATTATTATATTTTATATTTTAACTT